ACGTCGGGAAGGAGAGGGTTAACGAGTGCTCGATCACTACGCCTTCCTCGTTTTCCAAGAGGATCCCCGCGCCGCTCCCAGACAAGCTAGAGGCTCCGTCGACGAAGATGGTCCATTTGTGTTCCTTCCCGGCGGGCGAGTCGTGAGCGGTCATTTTTGCGACGAAGTCGGCCAGGGCTTGTGCTTTCAGAGCTTTCCTACTCTCGTATTGAATGTCGAATTCGGAGAGCTCCAAGGACCATTTCAACATCCTGCTTGCCATGTCAGGCCGACCCAAGAGTTGCCTCACTGGTTGGTCGGTTCGTACGATGACCGTGTGGGCCAGAAAGTAGTGTCTAAGTCTCCTCGCAGCATTGATGAGGGCCAGAGCTACCTTTTCTATCTGTTGGTACCTGCTCTCGGGGCCTTGTAGGGCTTTGCTGGTGAAGTACACGGGTTTCTGTCCGTCGGTGGTCTCGCGGATGAGAGTCGCGCTGACGACTTTGTTTGAGACGGCCAAGTACAAGAATAATGGCTCCCCGTCGACTGGTCGAGATAACACGGGTGGTTGTGATAGGCTTTGCTTTAGGTGGCGCAGTGCCCGCTCACACTCCTCGGTCCATTCGAATGCTGCTTCTTTGCGAAGGAGTCTGAAGAAGGGAAGGGCGTGCTGAGCGGATCTCGCGACGAAGCGGGATAATGACGTGAGCATGTCGTTCATGATTTGTATTGATTTCTTTGATGTCGGGGTCGGTAGATCGGAGAACGCTCGACATTTGTCGGGGTTGGCTTCAATTCCTCGTTCTGTCAGGTAGAATCCGAGGAATTTCCCCGCCTTGACCCCGAACGTGCATTTTTCGGGGTTGAATCTCATCTTACATTGTCTTGCTTGGGCGAAGACTGCCTTGAGGTGTGTAGCATGATCGGTGTCTGCTCGAGATTTGACGATCATGTCGTCCATGTAGACCTCGAGCATGTATCCAATTTGTTTGTGGAAAACCCTGTTCATCATACGCTGGTAAGTTGCCCCGACGTTTTTTAGTCCAAAGGGCATTACGTTGTAGTAGTAATTGCCCGAGATGGTCATGAAAGTCGTGCAGTGTTTGTCGCCCATGGCCACCGGGATTTGATTATAGCCCGAGTAAGCATCCATGAACGATAATGTTTTGTAGCCGGCCGAGTTGTCGACCAGCATGTCTATGTTCGGTAAAGGGAAAGCATCTTTCGGGCAAGCCCGGTTGAGATCGGTATAGTCAACACACATCCTCCATTTTCCGTTATTCTTTTTAACAAGTACAACGTTCGACATCCAGGTTGAATACCGGGCTTCAGAAATAAAATTCGCCTCTAGGAGGTCTTTTACAGCTTTTTCAGCAGCCTCCGTTTTCTCCAGAGACTGCCTACGCCTACATTGTACTACGGCCTTAGCGGCAGGATCTATGGCGACGTGGTGACAGGCAACCTCCGAGTCGAGTCCGGGCATCTCCGCGGCGCTCCAGGCGAACAGGTCAGCATTCTCGCGCAAGCAGGCTTTGATTTGCTTCCTTGCCAGGTCGGGGAGATCCTTGCCAATCTTTACTCCTTTGCTCGGGTCTGCGCCGAGGGGGACGAGCTCAAAATCCCCGTCTGGTATTGGTCGGAGTGGAACTTTCTCGCCGTTGGGAGGTTCGTCCTGATCGAAATGAGCGTCCAGAGCTATAGAGTCGACCTTTGGTGGAGCTTTCTGGACTTCTTCCTTGGCGGACTCTGTCTTGTCGGGCTCCTGTCGTATCGTCGCTGGTCTTTTGGCGGGCCTTGTCCCTACGTCGACAGTGTCGCGTCCCTTAGATGCAGCGTTGAAACACCTCCGAGCAGCGGCTAGGTCTCCCTGGATAGTAGCTACCCGTGCCATTTTGGTGTAGAACTTCATCTTCAGGTGGACGGTGGAGGGCACTGTCGTCAGTTCTGCCAGCGTTGGTCTCCCCAGGATGCAGTTGTAGAGGGACGGGCAATCGATGACGAGGAAGCGTACTTTGACCTGCCTTGTCGCTGTGCCTTCGGCGAATGTAACCATGAGTTCGACATATCCCCAAGGCTTGGAGGTCGAGCCGTTGAAGCCTTGCAAGTCCGACCCTACATACAGCGAGAGATGGGAGTCGTCCAACTGCAGAGTTCTGAATAATTGGCTACATTACGTCAACGGAACTCCCTTCGTCGACTAGGATGCGGTGCACATCGAAGTTAGCCATTCGTGCCCTTATCAGCAGGGGAATGACTGCGTTGGGGGCTCCTCCGGGGAGCTCTTCGAGGTAGAAGGTGATGGGCTCCGACCTACCTTTTACCCTCTCAAATGTCACTGTCTGCGGGGGTGCCGCGTCGACCAATTCATCCAGCTTCCTTTTATCCGAATTGATAGTCAGGTCGTTGAACCCTCCGCCATTGATGACCATGGCGGAGGGGAAATATTCCCACCTGCTGTGTGTTGTGAGCGGCTCCTGCAGGTGTTCGGGGACGTTGAAGTCCTCGGGTCTGGTCACGGAGAAGGAGGTCTGGACGGGGACCGACTCTTCAGATGGTCGGGCGTCTTCCTCCGGTTCTCTTGTTTCCCGGGTGTCACGACGAGGGGCGTCGTTTCGTCAGTATTGTGCGAGCCTTCCTCCCTTGATGAGGGTTTCGATGGCGTCCTTGAGGTGGACGCAATCTTCAGTCAGATGACCATGGCTCCTATGGTACTGACAACACTTGTTCTTGTCTGCTCCGGGCTTGGCGGGAGCGGGTCAGGGGCGTTTGACGCCGCCGTCCTTGAAGTCCGTGCTGGCACACTCCGCCAAAATGCGCTCGCGGGAAGCTGTGAGCGGAGTGTACTCGGTAAAACGCCCCGAGGGTCCTCTTTGCTCTCAGACTTCTCGGGGTCTGTCTTCTTTTCTTTTCTCCCCGGCCCGTCGAGGAGGAGTAGCTTCCTAGCGTGGGTTGCTGTTGGACCCGCGAGTCCTGGGGTCTCGGGCTCTGTTGGCCGCCTCTCTCTCCTCGTAATCCATGTACGCCTGGGCCTTCTCGAGGAGGGCATCGAATGTTCTAGGTGACTCGATACCCACGGCCTTTCTGAATTCCGTGCCGGGGAGGAGCCCCCTCTTCAGCAAATATCTCTTCATGTGATCCGCGCAGGGGACCTGTATGGCTTCGCGGTTGAAGCGATTGATGAACTCTCTCAAGGTTTCATCCTGTCTCTGGATGATGGCCTCGAGAGCCGCCTCGGTCTTTGGGTGTCACCGAGACGCTGTGAACGAACTAATGAATTGGTTCTTCAGGTTTCTCCACGAGGTGATTGATCCCGGGGCGAGGCCTTTATACCAGTCCATTGCTGCCTTTCTAAGGGTCGTGGGGAACAGCCGACATTTGATGGGTCCCCCGATATTGTGATAGTGCAGCATAGCCTCGAACCCGTCTATGTGGTCGACCGGGTCCGCGACTCCGTCGTATTCCTTCAGATGTGGAGGCTTCTCCATGCCCGGGGGAATGGGCGCCTCCATGATAGCCTGCGACAGGGGACCGCGGGGGTCGTCCTCGTCGCTTTGCTCCGGGGACAGGGACGGGGACCTGTAATACTGTTGGGCACGACGGTCCTGGTCGTGCTGGGCATCTCTCGAGCGCGGTGCCCGTTGGTTGATTCTTCCATGCCCGTCTCCGGAGTGTCTTCTTTCTTGCCTTGCGGGGGCGCGGCCGCGTCCTCCGGCTTCGATGATGGGTTGCCTCTCCAAAGGGGGCCGTTTCCCCGATGGTCGGGGTGATGGGCTCCGAGAGGTATCTCTGTAGTGTCTCCGCAGGGGAGACGGGAAATGGACCTCAGTTACTCGAGGAGGTGGAGTCCGGGGCCTCCGGTGCCTCCTCGGGGGTCTTCGATCGTCTTCAAGTGCCCTCAATCTTTTCCCTTGGGCGAAGATGAGGTAATTCGTCTGATTGATCGCCGCGAACAGCGCTCGGGTTGTGGCATCTGCCCCAGCGGGGACAGGGACTTCCTGAAACTGAGCAGCTCGATAGTTTGTGAGAGTTGCATCGTCTTCTTCGAGTGGCGGAGGGACCGATGAGGATGAAGCGGTAACTCCGTCGCGGTGGATTGAGGGCCCGGGGGCAGTTGACACAGGGATGGTGTTATGACCGGGGTTTCCAGCGTTATCAAGGCGTCCATTTTTATCCGCGAGGCCGTTGTTGGTGTCGACGACGCGGATGTTTTGTTCATCACGAACTTGGTCAGCCATGACGGTGATAGTTGAGTTGAGCTTTGGTCTTTGAGTTTTTTCAAGACGGGGAAGCTAGTTTCCCACAGACGGCGCCACTGATCTGCCTGATCAGACTTGGACCGTCACGACTGGCTCTGAGCTGAAGTTTGAACGAGATGGGGGTACCTGCAAGGCACTCCGATGCTAAAGTGAGTGAGAGTACGAGCAGGCAGAAAGTGTGAGTATGGGTAAGATAATGAATACCTGACCCTCTTGGAATAGAGGGTATTTATAGCCCCCAGCGCTGGGCCAAGGTCCCTTCATTGGGCCGACCAGGATTGACTCAATAAAGGAACTTCCAGGTTCTACGTGTGTAGTGGGGACCCGCACGTGGTCTACTTCCTGGGTGCTCTGCGAGAAGTACGGACGGACGAGGACGCGGTCTTTTCGGAGTTTGGGTGAGGGTGTAACGGTCATAGTCTGCCCTACGAGGGGGTGCTCGAGCTGGACTGTATGGGTCGAGGATGTTGCGTTCACGGGCAGTGGCGGGCACGGTCGTAGCTTCTGGTTGACGCGCCCCCTATAGAGCCGTTTGGATTGGGCCTATTCTTGCTCTTGGGCCAACCTGGGCCCAGTCCAGAACAGATTACATGACCAAATTACATATACTTTCAATTTTAGGACTAATTGTGCATGTTTTGAGACCTCAATCCTGACCAGAGCCGTCTCAGGTTTTTAGAGGTCCTGTATAAATTAGCCACAATTTAACCATGAAAAGACAAATAGAAGCCAATTCAACTACAATTTAACCACGGCAAACATTTTATGAGGCCCTATTTAGCTAAGGTTTACTCATGATAAATTTTGGGCCCTGCTCTGTAGTCCGCCTTGTACGTCCTTAAAGACGGCCCTGGTCCTGACTAGCTGTCTTTTTTTCTTTTCCTTTGTCACAGATAAAAGAGAAAAAGAATGAACTAGGGAAGCTGGAATCAATTGACAGTGGAAAGCCACTGGATGAAGCACTAGCGGATTTGGTGATTAGTATTTGACTATTTGTTATTGAAAAAACATGTTACCATTCATTCTCTTTTGTTTTGCTGAAATTGGACTTTTTGTGGTTTGATTATCTAGGATGATGTTGTTGCTTGTTTTGAGTACTATGCTGTGCTTGCGGAAGGGTTGGATTCAAAGCAAAAAGCTCCTATATCTCTTCCTATGGATACCTTCAAAAGCCATATTCTCAAGGAGCCTATTGGTGTTGTTGCATTAATTACTCCATGGTATCTTATTTTTCTTCATCTTAGTAGCTTATGAATTCCTTTTCATTGAAACTTTCTGGTTTAGCGTGCTTTTTGGATGACTCGTTAAATTTTGTATTTGATGTTTTTTCTGTAGTCGATGAAATTTATGTTATATATTAGGAACTATCCTCTCTTAATGGCAACTTGGAAAATTGCTCCGGCTTTGGCTGCTGGTTGTGCTGCAATATTGAAGCCATCTGAATTGGCATCTGTGTAGGTTCTCATCAACTATTACAAACCTGAGCACTATTTGTTAAGTTGATATATCATGATTTCTTATGGTTTATAATTTTAGGACCTGTTTGGAGTTAGGCGAAATATGCCAAGAAATTGGCCTTCCTCCTGGTGTTTTACATATTGTCACTGGATTAGGCCATGAAGCAGGTGCTTCTTTGGCATCCCATCCTGATGTAGATAAGGTTCAAAACTTCTTAAGCTGGATCACGTTCTATATCTCGCAAGTGTTTTTATCACGATGTCTTTGAGTTTGCTAAGATATTGTACCATTGTGCCCTCTATTTTGATAGATTTCTTTTACTGGTAGTTCAATAACTGGAAGCAAGATTATGACAACTGCAGCACAGCTAGTCAAGGTATGCAAAGAAAAGATAGGAACCTTTCTGTTTTTTTGTTATTGTTGTTACTAATCTTTTCCTTTTGTGATTTCTCATATGCAGCCTGTTTCACTAGAGCTTGGTGGAAAGAGCCCGATCGTTGTTTTTGAAGATATTGACCTTGATAAGGGTTGGTGTGCCTTCTTGAATATGTCTTTGTTGAATCACTTTTTCTTGCATTTTGGCATCACATTTTATGAACAGCCCATTTTTTGATTTCTTGTATTGTGATATTTGGGTATCTGAAACCTATGGCATGATCCCAAACATTTGCTCATATGCCGTTTATAATTTATTGATCTGTCCTTCATCATTAAACAGTTGCTGAATGGACCGTCTTTGGCTGCTTCTTTACTAATGGCCAGATATGCAGCGCAACATCTCGGCTTATTGTGCATGTAAGTTATAGACGCTCTTAAGTTTTTCATTCCGTCAACAATTCATGCTCATGTTATGTTACTGGCAAAATTGAACCAAAAATCACCATAAACATGTTCATTAATATGCATTTGTAGCTTACTTTTACTGTTTCAGGAAAGTATAGCTGTAGAGTTTGTTAATAAACTTGTCAAATGGGCCGAAAACATCAAAATTTCGGATCCTTTGGAAGAAGGTTGCTAGGCTTGGACCTATTGTCAGTGAAGCACAGGTATGTTTTCTGTTTATCAATTCTGTATACATGACATATTAGTATATTACTTAACTTATCACTTGATGTTAAAATCACACATTAGTTATTTGAAGAGTGATCACGATTTGTCTTATATGATTCAGTATAAGAAAGTATTGAATATGATCTCAATGGCTAAGAGTGAGGGTGCAACAATTTTGACTGGTGGCCGTCGACCTGAGGTATGATTATATCCTCGAATGTGGGAGCTCAGTTCGGTTTATCTGCATTTGTCATGAGAAACAATCATTTATTTTTTCAAATCCAATGGCAGCATTTAAAGAAGGGATATTTTGTTGAACCAACCATCATAACCGACGTGACTACCTCGATGCAAATTTGGAGAGAAGAAGTATTTGGACCTGTACTCGCGGTGAAAACATTTAGCACTGAGGAAGAAGCTATTGATCTAGCAAATGACACTTAGTGAGTTTGATGAACTGATATTAATTTCACTTCTACAACCAATTTTTTCTTCACTTGTGGATTGATGCCAATGCTACAAACTTGATATTTCACAGCTATGGTTTGGGATCTGCTGTAATGTCAAACGATTTAAAAAGATGCGAGCGTCTATCTAAGGTGAGACTAATCCAAGATATTATTATCATGTAAAAACAACAAAATGATTAGATTTTTACTAACTCAATGGTTTAAACTTTAAATTGATTTTTTGCAGGCTCTTCGAGCTGGAGTTGTATGGATCAACTGTGCTCAGCCAAGCTTCATTCAAGCTCCATGGGGAGGCATTAAACGTAGCGGCTTTGGGCGCGAGTTAGGAGAATGGTATGAACCTTGATTCCTAAAATCGGCAATATGCGTTTAATAAGAAATCTGAGAAGTGGAGTCTGAATTTCTGTTGTTTTTTGATTTAGGGGACTTGAGAATTACTTGAGTGTGAAGCAAGTTACTAGGTATATATCGGATGAGCCGTGGGGCTGGTATCAATCCCCTTCAAAGCTGTGATAGTTAATCATGTAAAGTGATGATGAATATGTTTCTAAAATGTGGCATGGAATAAGGTGTTTGTGTGAGTAACACCAAGTTATATAATGTTATGTATTTGACATACCAGCAACATGGTTGTGAATTCGCACGGAGCTTTCGTTGATGATACGATATAGTTTGAAATCAAATCAAGAATCTATATAGAATCTTTGATCTTATTAAAGAAATTATTAGCGGTAAATGTTTCTTCATTTGTCCATTGATCTTTTTGTACAACACTAGAAAACAAATTGTCGCTCTTTCCTTTTCTTGTCTTCATCATTAGCCTTGAATTAATATAATGAAATTGAAAACGATAAATTGGCTTCAAGCTATTATATAGTTCAAACATTTTTTTTAATAAGTTAATTTAAATAGTTAGGATCAAAAGTATTATGGGGGGCCAAAGGCAGCTTTTTGAAAATGTACTTAGAGTAAATGACTCCTTCATTCTCAAGAAATTATTATTGTAAATTATATTTGATTTTTTCTTTGGAATTAATTTTTAATTTTAATACTGAAAAAAGTTATTGTTGAACTCATTTTGGTTGAATGTATGCATGTTAGTTATAATCAATTTTATAAAATTAGTTGTTTAAAATCAATTGTCATCGTCAGAAAACCAAACAAATAAGTAAAAGACCCTAACCTGCGTAAGAAACATAAGTTGAAGAGGAGTTTACCACTCTCCTACAAGGTCATGGTGACCCAAATGTGAATCCTAACAATATTGAGAATTAAAGGTCGACTTAACATTACTTGTGAGTTTTGTCAAGAGACATCAATTGCAACGGTAAAGATGCTTGATAGAGTTACAGACAGTTAAATTTCCCTCTCTCTCTCATCATTTGTAATTTGGAATTGGAAGCTGCATCGCACTTTCACATATTTTGTTGGTTACCGAGCCCCGCTCCGCACATTCATTTAACCCAAAGCAACAACGAGCTCATTGCACGGATCTGATCGAACTTGAACAAAAATGGGAATGACAGAAGAAACCGTAGTGGCAGTTATCATGGTCGGAGGACCCACCAAAGGCACTCGATTCCGTCCATTATCATTCAACATTCCCAAACCACTCTTCCCATTAGCTGGACAACCCATGGTTCATCACCCTATCTCTGCTTGTCGAAAAATTCCTAATCTCGCTAGAATTTATCTCATTGGTTTCTATGAAGAACGTGAATTCGCATTATATGTATCGTCCATCTCCAATGAACTTAAAATCCCTGTTAGCTACTTGAAGGAGGATAAGCCTCATGGCTCTGCTGGTGGTCTTTATAACTTTAAAGATCTCATCATGGAAGAAGATCCGGTTTTTTTCTTTACTTTTCAATTTCTACTACTAATCTATCATCATACTCATACATTCATTATCTCTTTTTGTATCACAGTCCCATATTTTTTTGCTCAATTGTGATGTTTGCTGCAGTTTTCCACTCCCACAAATGCTAGGTAATCTCTTTTCTCATTTAGATATTCTCTTTTATCATCATATGTAATAGGAATCCGTGCTTAATGGGAGACTTCCTTCACATTTCTTAACTGTTATAGAATTCATGGAACTGTTCATTATTGATTTTTCTGTGAAATTTTGCTTCAGATGCACATAAAAAACATGGTGGTATGGGAACAATACTGGTTGTGAAGGTTGGAAATTGCGCGCGCGTGTTGTTTTTTCACTGTGACATTTTTGTCATTGGCATCCAATTTTTCTGATCCTTTTTTTTCTTCTTACTTTTCAAGGTTTCTCCGGAGTCAGCTAGTGAATTTGGGGAATTGGTTGCTGATCCAGTCACCCATGAGCTCTTGCATTACACAGAGAAACCTGAAACTTTTGTATGTTTGTTCTCTTATGATATGTCTTTAAATAGCTGTTCTCTTCCCTGCTGCTGTTTACTGTCTTATGCTGCATGCTTACCTGAATGCAGGTTAGTGACCTTATAAACTGTGGTGTGTATATATTTACACCAGATATATTTACTGCCATTGAGGGTGTTTCTTCTAATTGGAAAGAAAGAGGTGAGTGAAATATCTTAGGCCACATCCATTATTAAAGATATATCCAGTTTGTATTTCATTTTAAAATGTGAAAAATCTTAATCTATGTAATCTGTGCTGAATAAAAGGAATTGTAAATAACTGGAGTTTGTCTCTCTGTATATTAACTAATGTAATTCATATGTCATTTTATTTTGCAGCTAACTTAAGGCGTGTCTCTAGCTTTGAAGCAATGGCGCCAGACTCAAGGTTTGAAGTTTCCTGATTTTCAAAATTTAGCTGACTAGAACTTTCTGATATTTCACTCTGATCATTAGTAATATCAGCAAGATCAATTCATGCAACGAACTTAAACTAAAGTTCTCGTCAATTATCTAAACAGTTTGCATATTTATAACTGTCTATGCATATACACTTATTTTATACATTGACTTTTAGTATAACATTTATAAAGCTGACAAATAATTTTAAAAACTCATATGCTTGTCAACAACATCAGAGTTTCACATATCAAAGAATGAAGCATTTAAGCATCGGAGTTACCCATAATGAACAAGTTAAATTTGAAAATCAATTTACAAAAAATTATACTACTAAGATTGGACCTGAATGAGCAAATCAAATATGTAAGGAAGCTCCATTGTGACTACTTCTTACATAGTTGACTTAAGGTTAATCCCCTCGATATTTGTTTTACATAAATTCAGCACATATATTTATCCATTCAGGAATAGCAGATTTGGTATGCAGTTATAATGAGTGATTTTTAATCATGGAATAGTATTGCATGTTTTGAAATTTATCTTTTTAGACGGACTTTACCTGCAGTGCAAAGGGTTCAAAACCCCAAAGTAATGCAACCTGTGGCTAGGTCTAAGTTAAGACGCTAGTTGGGATTAATCCGCATCCAAATAATCTAAAGACAGCATTTATCTTACCAAAGAAAGGAGTTTCCAGATAATCAACTTTCAATTAAGTGTTTAAAATATTGGTTTCTGTACCAAATTTTACTTGATCATTTTGGGTTTCAACTTGCTTTTTCTTTGAAGAATTGTCCTTTTTTTCATTTCAAAGTCATTTGTAACTGGGGCATGTGTATAGAGTTTGACATTTCATTTATATACATCATGTAGTTCCTAAGCTTAGTCTTAATACTGGTTTAAGATTCATTATTGAGCTCACGTTAAGTTCAATTTAGATTATGGAAAAAATATTTATTTAAATATACAGCATGAAATTACCTAGAATCTAATCAGGGTGGATGAAATGGAGGAATGCTTTTGAGTTTAATTTTTTAAAAAAGAATCACCATTCTAGCGTAAAGGAAAATTCTACTGCACAGCAATAAGTCCCGTGAGGCGATTAAAACGGTTAAAAGGCAATAAGAAAATAAGACAGTGTTGTTGAGCTGAGAATGCTATATGATGGATGTGTGGTCACACAAAACTAGATATATTTGGATTGAAATCATTATGAATAAGTACAGATAACTCTTCCTATTATAGAAAAGAGGATAGAATCTTGCCTTAGATGGTAGTACATGTGTGGAGAAAACCCATAAAATCATCATTAAGGAGTGTTGATAAAATGGAGGATAATCCATCAGTGAGAGGTAGCATGAGAGAGGAGACAAAATTAAATGGTCTGTTAAAAAATTATTCATAGCAGGTCCAGGACATCCTGTTGCTATTTGATCTATGTAGGTGGAGAAAACTTTGATGGTAGTTCTTGTTGTATATGCACAGCGTGAAAATAAAGGTGGTTTATATGGTTTATCGTCATCTGATTCCGAAGAGTTATTTGTAGGAGTCATACGGAAAAATATGTCAGATTGGATCAAGATATCCTCTCACCTCTTGCAGGGAAGAAACAGTTGTATATACATGAAACTTTGGACTTTTGGGAACAAATCAAAACTCCTGGGTAAGCTAGAGTGCTCTGATACATATTCATCATTTCCTTCATGTGTGATTATTATATCTATTGACTTAATGCTTGCAGAATGTCCATAAGATGTTCAGCCTTGTATCTTTCACAATTTCGTCACACTGCCCCCCATCTATTAGCAAATGGAGATGGTATTAAGAAAGCCTACATCAGTGGTGATGTTTATATTCATCCGTCAGCAAAAGTGAATCCGTCTGCAAAGGTTAATATTCATCTCTTTTCCCTTGATAGCTAGTTCTCTACCCTGGGCTTTCACGGTGATCTTAATTGCTCTGTTAGTTTTGATATGCGTAATATTTTTTTATTCATAACAACTTAATGTTATTAGTTGCGATTCTGGTACATGATACTTGTAACTTGTGCAGTTTTAGAAAATTGTATATCTTGACCACTTGATATGTGTCATGAGCTATACATTATAAAATATTTAAGTGCTGTGATGCATATCAAGTAGATTTTCCTACCCCCTCCATCCCCATGCCCTGCGAGGACCCTTTTTTTTATCTTTTTGACTGAGAGGTCCAAGAAAAATAAAATGTAAATGCCTTAACATGTTATGCAATTTGACTTTTGTTAATCTGATTGAACAGATTGGTCCTGGTGTATCAATATCGGCAAATGCTCGTATAGGAGCTGGTGCAAGGCTTATAAATTGTATAGTCCTTGATGATGTTGAAATCAAGGTAATTAAGTCTACTCATTAATTGGTTTTTAAATGCATAAACATTTTTGGAGCTTGTCGTTTTACATATTTCATCTTATAGGAAAATGCTGTAGTTCTTCATGCAATTGTTGGATGGAAATCCTCCATTGGACGATGGGCACGTGTCCAGGCAAGTTTGGAAATTTTAATATTTAACTAAATTGTTCCACTAACTAAAGGCTTGTCTTTGTATTTTCTGTTACTTGAATTTTTAAGATTGCCAAGAAGCTATTATTATGTTTTTTGCTGCAATAAGTGATTATAATGCTGCATTTTCATCACATTTCTCACGTAGTCCAGTATGACAATTGACAAGCATCTCAAACACATCTTAAGCCTGAACATGTAGCTTTTAGAATATAACCTGGTCTATCATATCAGACATCATCATGCATGGTCTAGAAAACGACTTGGGGACTCAACGGACAACTTTACTTTCGAAAACAATCATTGGCTGATTTTGCTTTCTTTTTCACTGATTATATGTTTAAACTATTAGCATCATCGCCAGCATGTAATTTTAAGACTCCATTATATCTTTAGTCCTTCAAAATATGGTAATTTTCTCTTGTTATCCAAAACTTTTTGTCCCATTTTGATACCCTGTTGTGTTGGACGATTTGCCCAATGATAGCGTTCATAAAAATTGCTCGTTGTTGTGTTACATTTTTCATCTCCTATCGTTACATTTGTTTTTATTTTCTATTTGTTTGCTAAATTGTATAAAATTCAGGGTCATGGAGATTACAATGCAAAACTCGGCGTCACTATACTTGGTACTTTTCTTAATGTTATGTTCATATTCTTTACTATTACTTAATACCACTTTAATCCCTAGGATCCAAATTTACTCTTTTTATCGCTACCAACATTTTAAATTCTAATGATTTAGATAATTTAGTTTATATATTTAGAAACAATAGCAGTACTCTTATTATGGAGAGAGATGAAATAACAAAGTAATAACTCTGCAATTCTTGTTCTCATGTTGTGACCAGGTGAATCTGTTGCCGTCGAGGATGAGGTGGTGGTTATTAATAGCATTGTCCTTCCAAACAAGACCTTAAATGTTGGCGTTCAAGATGAGATTATTTTATAGAACACGTCCTCTACTCCTACAGTTGGCTTTTCATTTTCCTTGTAATTGTAATGGCATTTGCCTTGGGTTTAATATCTAGTTTAGAATTCAAAAAACGTGTATATTGTTCATTTTGTCAGTGTTTGTACCAAAATATATATATTGTTGCATTATCACATTTGTGCTGCTATTTTAATACAGAAGAAATAAATTATTTCAAATATCATGTGTTTGAGTACCAGATTGATTGATCCTTCACAATCATTTGTAAGGAACTTATTTTGTTGCTGCAAAATTCAACATAAACAATTGGTTGCCATTACAGATGTTTTGTTGCAGCCAGAAATGTGCAACAAGCTAGACATGAGAGTTAAAAGGATACGAGCTAGAAATGTGCTACAATTGGTTGCCATTACATATGTTTTTGTTGCAGCAAGAAACGTGCTACAAGCTAGACATGATAGAGTTAAAAGGCCAGGAAGAACTCCGATTCTAAATAATCCTAAAGCCCTTGAGACTTCGAAGATAGTTTGCTAAACACAATGGTATTTGAGAATGCTATTATTCTTTCTTCAAATACTGTGGAACTTGCATCACAGAGAGCTTCAATTTTCCCATGAAAGACTTGGTTTTTAATCTCAAACTTGTGAAGCAACATTATCAAGCCATAAAACCATTTCCTAATACACAGTAATGCAGGGGATCACAACAGAAATGGCTGTTCTGAGGAACCAAATCCAAACATTATCATAACTTCATATGCCGGAGAACACGACCACACCTACTTTGCATTCTTAATATCTCACTAGCAAATTCTCGATTCCCCATTAGAACAAGTCCATTTAACACCCGATTAAAAGTAAACTTACGGGGCAAGAAACCTCTACCAACCATCTCCATCAACAACTTCCCAGCCACCACCAAATCCTCCGATTTTTTCCTCACAAACATGGCACTAATCAGAATATTATAGGTGTCCAAACTGGGCAAACAAGTCCCATTCCCCATCTTTTCAAACAACTCCAAACCCTTTTCAAGTTCCCCCTCATCACAATAATATCTAATCACAACATTGTATGTCTGAACACTTGGCCTACACCCATGTTCTTCTTCCATTCTCTTCATAAACTCCAAAGCTTTCTCCATTTCACCCGAATGACACAAACCTCTGATAACAACATTGTAAGTAGTCAAATTAGGCACACACCCTTTTCCCACCATCTCTTCAAAAACCAACAAAGCATTATGCACACTATCCTTCTTACACAAAACCTGAATCAAAGCATTATAAGTAGCAACAGAAGGAATCAAACCCTCTTTCACCATCGCGTCAAAAACCCTCTTCGATCTCTTAACCTCACCCGCAACACCAAATCCGTGAACCATTGTAGTGTAAGTAACAACATCAATTTCACATTTCCTCTTCTTCATCTCCAAAAAAAACTCCCAAGCTTCCTTCAACTGATTACACCTAAAATAACCTTTGAGCAATGTATTATAAGTAACCATCGTCGGCGTAATTCCTCTCTCCACCATCTCCTTCATAACCTGCAACGCCATTGGCGTTCGCTTAATCAAACACCAACCATTCGCCATTATGTTATAACTAACACTATCACATTTAAACCTACCTTTGAATGTTTTGAACAAACTATGCGCCATTTCAACACGCCTTGTTTTGCAGAGAACATCGAGGATTGTGTTGAATGAATTCAGATCCTGGTAACAACCATGTTCATGCATAGACAAAAACACTTTCACAGCCCGGTGGGCTTTCCCGCCGGTCGCATACCTTTCAGCGAGGATAGCGAATGCTCGAGGAGTCGGGCCGATACGGAGAGCCCGCATTCGGCCCACTAAAGCCCAGGCGGCGTTGTATTCGCGCAATCGGGCTGCAATGTCAATGGCGAGTTCGAAGCTTGATGAGGAGTGAATGTAAGTTGGGTGGCGTTCTAGGTGTTTGAAGAATTGTAGGGCTTTGGGTCCGTGGTTCCATAGACGCTTGAGAACGCTGTTGACTAGCTGTGAGGTCCATTCGAAAGAGTGGTTTGATAGGGTTTCAGGGAGGGATGACGGATCTGATTCGAGGACGAGTTTTGCTACGGTGGCGTCTTCGGAAGGCGGTGGAGATTCAGGTATGGTGGTGAGGGTGTTTCGTGGAAGCCAAAATCGGGGTTTTAGTGGGAAGAGATGGGAACTGTTCCAGGTTCGTTGAACTGGTTTAACCAGTAACTGATTAAACATCTTCGGGATTTTCACATTTTTCGATTTTTCGCTCAATGTTTCCTATTGTTAGGAGATTTAACTGGTTGGGCAATTTCTTTTCCACATTGTTATGTTCTTTATCATTATATTTTTTATTATATTTTTGAAGATGTATCTTTCGAATGTATTATTTTTTTATTTTATCTAAGTTAAATTGAATATGCATCTTCAAATATATTTTAGGATTAATTTGAAAATACATTTTTGAATATTTTCTTTTTTAATTTAGAGATTCTTTCGGACGAGGTAAATATATTTAAATCTCTCGTCGGATCCTTTCTCTTCTCCTTCTTCATAATTTTTTCTTTTTTCTCGTGAGCCTAATTTGACTAATGTATTAGGTAAAATAGGTTACTTTTAATGTATTAGATATTATTAGCATTTGAAATAGGTAATGTGTAGGAGATGTTTTTATGATTTTGGATGATTTGGATATTTTTTGGTGGTTAGGGTAAGTGTATAAGATGTTTCTGCCTTTGAAATGAAAAATGAAACTTTTTCGGCGATGCATCTCTGAAATGGGTCCTTTTTCTGTGTGGAGATGCATCTTCAAAATTTTCCTTCCTAATACACTAATGTCTTTTTTTTTTATGTTTTTTAAGGAGAATGGTTGCACACAACAACAAAATGATAGTTGGTCGTGAAACCCTAATCGCGTACGCTCGCCGCGAGAGGGATCTTCAACATGAGCGGTTAGAGGTATATAGGGGAGCCATCCCTAGGTCTCAAGACAGGGAAGCGTTGACTTCTAGGAGCCGACTATCACAGGGGTTGTCATCCCAAGCTCGTGTACACCAGGAGAAGGAGGTTCCAGCTGCATCTGATGGTCTCCCTCCACTTGCAAACCCTTATCCAGGAGGGCCCACTAACATGTCATTACTAATATATTTTGGAGACCATGTTGTTCTGCATGTCTGGGTCAGCGAGGTATATTTCTTAACGGTTCTTATTTTTAGATTTTAACAAAATTCAATTCGATTGAGATTGTTATATTTTCTTTTTAATAGGAAGGTGAGTGTTTGAAATCTGTTAACCATGCCAAAAAAATTAATGACTTCCTCAACCACATCAAAAGTAGTTCCTAAGTGTGTTTTGGTACTTCAATCTTACTGGTCTATGTTTTTTCTGGTACAACATCATCAGTCATGGCATGCAAGGGGAATTTATTGAGAGATGGCATAAAGAAACATTATATTTCCACTTACCATTGGCGAGATGACGATTAAATTAGATTGTGTTATTTATCTCTGTGATACGGTGGGAGAACTGACTTGAGGTTTTGCGTTTGTTTTTGCAAATGTTTCGGTTGAGCAAGAGTCGCCACCGACTTTTTATTTTATCCTAAAGAAAGGTTAAAAAGCACAGCAAAAACCTTTGAGATGTTTTCTTGGGTTCGGGGAGTAGATTATAGAAAGGGAAGGTATTAACACCCTTTCTATCCATGGTTATCCATGGGCTCTTAGTTACTTGCTTAGATCACTTGCCTTGTGTTTTCAATTGTTTGAAATGGTACTTTGTGTGTGGGTTTGAAAATGTTTTGAAAAGAGGCCATTTGTTGTGGCAACCTTTGTAATGATCCATGTTTGAATGTATACAAAGGTGTACTTATCTTTTGAAAAGTTTTCAATATTTTTGAAAGTTGTTTTGAAAGTGTGTTGTGATGTGTGTTTTGAAAAATGGCAAGGATTGTTTTGCGAGATTGGTCAAGTAACCAAGAGATATCTTCCCTAAATTTCTCAAAGATCTTTCCTATGTTTTAACCCTTTTAACAATTTTGTTCCACCATTGTATTTGATGGACAATCTTGTGTTAGGATGTTAACGAGACGGGTGCGGGTCATCGTTTAGACCATGATTGCAATGGTGCCAAGTGTCTTTGGCAATTTTTCCTTTAAGGGACTTGATCATTTTTAGGCAACTTTCGAAAGCGTCATCGAGGGACTATGATCATTTGATATTGTTTTGTTTTGCCAAAAACACTCAACATGCAACATGGCCCATTTATTGGAGGCAACAAGTGGAGTAACCCTAGGGGTGCAAGTGTGATTGGTGTTGTCCATTTTCATGCTTTTTTGTCTTTGAATTAGGTCAAGCTATTTGTTATTTGATTTTTGCATACAAACCTTAAGTCTATCATGGCATAATTAGAAAGCTTTTAAATGCGAAAAATAAAATCCTAAATTATTACAACACAATTATGGGATGGGGGGTACAAATATTCAAATGGGGATATTTAGCAAGAAATTAAAATCTAAGCTATTACATCCAAATTGAATATACAAAGATTAATTGTACAATAATTAAGTAAATAAATATGCAAAAATGTATTTATGCACAAAAATGGTTTTTATATGTATGGGAAAGTATTTTTTTTATGTGAAATATAAACAAAAAATAAAAGAATCAATTTTGGATATTTTGTGTTTTTAGGGCAAAACCCTAATTTTCTAAATAATAATATTTATCAATTATATTATATACAATTTTTATTAATTATATACAAAAATAAATAAAAGAGAAGTATATTGTAAAAAAGTAATTTTTGAGGTCAAATATTAATAAAAATAAAAATGTATTATTTTTTATGGTTTATCCTAAATATTCTAATAAAAGATAGATATGTATTTATATTATTTACTAAATATATTAAATATGTACAAAAATAAAAAAAATGTTAATTATTTACAAAAAAAAAGTATATTTTTTAGAAAATGTTTCAAAAATGTAAATAAAAAAATAATAACTAAAAAAATATTTTGTATTATTATTTTTAATGTTTTAAACAAATAGTACTATATTTATTTATATATGTAACTAAATGAAACAAATAAATATCAAATAAAATGCAAAAAATGTGAGAAAAATATTTTTAGTGTTTTTCCATGCTTGAATAAAAATATAAAATCAGAATCAAAAAGAAAAAATCAAAAATGACAAATATATCACATAATGGGCCAGAGGGGTGTATGTTGAAAATGAGTGTGCAAACAGAAAAAAGAATCAGGCCCAGCCCAAGGGACTTTGTCTTCAACCTCCAGCAACTTTCCAAACAAAAAACGCGTATTTCCTTCTCCAACTGCTATCTCTTGATTCTTTGACTTTTAACAAAAACTTATAACATAAAAAATGTAGAGCATCAAACCACGAATTCATACATATAAAAAACTTGATCTAATTCTCAGAAATGAGAGAGAATTTCTTCTCCCCCAATTCCTGACCTAGCTTTTTTCCAATGTTTAGGTCCAAAATTCTCTCAGTACACACAACATAAATGAAAAGTAATGATATGGGTAGCTTCAGGGCCATGAATAGAACATACTTTCTTCACAAACCTAAACCTAGATATGCTTGGATAGAGAGATAGAAGTTCAAACTTTTACCTGTTCAGCTTGAATCGTGTACAGCAATGGAGGTATCTTCAATGGAATTTGAGGACTTGTACAACTTGCTTGAAGTTCAGGGATGCTTCTCCAACCTCTAGCTTGCTCTGAAACTAGCTGAATCGAGCTATGGAAGTTCACCTGCAAAGTTGAAAACTGAAAATGGAAAATGATGTTAGGGATGTTACAGTTTGTGTTCAATGCTTGGGATAGCTTCAGTGGGTGATATGGAACATGTTTGAACTCCCTTTGGCCAAAGTGCACGAGTGGAAAGGTTTATAGAAGTCAAGTTGCAGAAGGGACTCTATTTTTTGCAGTAGGATGGTGTTTTGGTGTTTAAGGAGGTATGAGGGGTCAATGAATCGTGCCTTAGGTTTGTTAGGGTGTATGGAAGATGTTCACAAGGTTTTTGTTTGGCTGTGTTGACAGGAGATGGAAGTTGGTATGTGTTTGCAAGATTTCTTCTATGTGAAGCAAGGAAATGTGTTCTTGGATATAAACCAGTACAATGCCCCAATCTATGTTGCACCTCTTGTTATTAAAACTTGTAACTTGTAGATTTGATTTGGCTTCAGAGATATGGCCTCATGCCTCTTGGATTTGGAATTTGACATAAAGTGTAACTTTATCAAAATGGCTAAAATGCTTTTTCTAATTATGGATTAATCTAACATGTATTGCCCAAATGAATGAAATAACATCTTGGCACAATGGTTTAGCATTGAATTATTGAGTAAGAAATGGATTAGAGGCATGTAACCTAGCTTGTGCATGCTGAGTTTGAAAATGCAAAGTGTTATGAACATGTATTTGGTCAAGAACAAAAGTGACTTTTGCCCAACTTTGCCAATTCGATTCTCCCTAACCACAAAGGTGTTTGAGAAGTTCTTGGACAATTTGGAAAGCTTGGAATGTGTACTACAATACATCATTGTAAGGCAAGTTGAAATTCCAAGTGGAAGCATGTGAAAAGTGGCCATGAAGTTGGGCAAAAATCCTGCCTAAAATAGGTCAAAAAATTTCTAAGTTAAGAATGTTTTACACCGCTATTCCAAAAATAATAACTTGATCTACAAGCTTCTTTTGAGGAAACTTTGTGAATCAAAGTTGTAGATTTTGAAATGGACTATAACTTTCATGTTTTTAGTTTTGTTTGAATCCAAATATATCTTGATGAAAAAATGGGACAAAGTTAGGAAAAAATAAGGAAGTTTCATAACTTAGAAAATTTCTAAGTTATGAAATTTCTTCATTTCAAATCCTAATTTGAAATTTTTGGTTTCTTGGTGAACAAGTTTCACAATTTGGCATGTCTTGATGAAAAATGAATCTTGACACTTGATTTTGACCAAAAAGTCAAAGTTTGACTTTTCAGTATACAGTCAAATTTTGCTCAGTTGACTGGAAAATTCATCTGTCAATCTTGTGCATTTGGGATCTTTTGAACTTGTTGAACATGTCAAGACAATGCCATTGAGTCCTTGAGTCCATATGTGAGCTTGGTTTGCCATTGGCTAGGTCAAACAGTCAAAAATTGCCTTTGTGCAGTCAAAACCCTAAAAATGACCATTTTGCCCTTTTGGTGATTTGATCAAATTTC